CGCCGCGCAGCCCCGAGCCGGGGCGCTATGGCCACAGCCCGGCTGGCCGCGGGGAGCGCCAGGCGGCCGACGAGTCGCGCATCCGGCGGCCCATGAACGCCTTCATGGTGTGGGCAAAAGACGAGCGCAAGCGGCTGGCGCAGCAGAACCCAGACTTGCACAACGCGGTTCTCAGCAAGATGCTGGGTGAGCGGTGGGGGTGGGACACGGGAGAATACGGAGGGGGCCAGGGGCTTCGGGCGGGGCCGGGACCGGGAAGCCAGGACTGCCGCGCGCCCAGGGCGCACGCAGGGCTGGGCCGTCCCCTACACCCTCAGCCCACTGACCGGCACTTGGCCCGCAGGCAAGGCGTGGAAGGAGCTGAGCGCAGCGGAGAAGCGGCCCTTCGTGGAGGAGGCCGAACGGTTGCGCGTGCAGCACCTGCGCGACCATCCCAATTACAAGTACCGTCCGCGCCGTAAGAAGCAGGCGCGCAAGGCCCGGCGGCTGGAGCCTGGCCTCCTGCTCCCGGGCCTGGCCCAGCCGCCTGAGCCCTTCCCCGCGGCGCCTGGTCCGGCACGCGCCTTCCGCGAGCTACCCGCGCTGGGCGCCGAACTCGAAGGTCTGGGCCTGCCCACGCCCGAGCGTTCGCCGCTGGACGGTCTGGAGACCGGCGAGGCCGCCTTCTTCCCGCCGCCCCCCGAGGACTGCGCGCTGCGGCCCTTCCGCGCGCCCTATGCTCCAGCCGAGCTGCCCCGGGACCTGGGCGGCTGCTACGGGGCGCCCCTGGCTGAGGCGCTGCGGACCGCGCCACCCCCAGCTGGCCTCTACTATGGTGCCCTGGGAGCGCCGGGCCCGGCTCCCTACCCCGGGCCGCTGTCGCCGCCGCCCGAGGCCCCACCGCTGGAGGGCGCCGCCGAGCCGCTAGGGCCAGCCGCGGAGCTGTGGGCAGACGTGGACCTCACCGAGTTCGACCAGTACCTCAACTGCAGCCGGACTCGGCCAGATGCCGCCGCGCTCCCGTACCACGTGGCGCTGGCCAAACTGGGCCCGCGAGCCATGTCCTGCCCGGAGGAGAGCAGTCTGGTCTCTGCGCTGTCCGATGCCAGCAGCGCCGTGTACTACAGCGCTTGCATCTCGGGCTAGCCGGCCCCAACCACCGCCGCGACCGCCTCGCTGTACGTCCCTGCTCTGCCCATCGCGGATGTGCATCGCGGCTCCGCGTACCACGCCCGCGGGAACGCAGCAGTCGCCAGTACTTGCTGGCGGCCTTGCGCCCATTCTGCCTCCCCTGCCCCTTTTCTGGGCTATTCGGCCACCGCCCGCAGGGCGTCTGTCTGGGAACTCCTCTGGCGTTTTGTGCAGGAAGCCCCGGCCTGCCGCGCGTCAGTCCCCTCCGGGGTCATGTTGGTGAAGTGCCTCATCTTTTCCCTGCAGTGCATTTACTAGGACCTGACTGCGTTTTTACTCTTTTTTATATGCATAACACAACATATTTAATTTTTAGTTAAACTTTTAACTTTTTCCCCAAGGGGTTTACCGTGACCAGAAGCATCAGTGTAGCAAGGGTTTTTTAAACGGCAAGATTAACAACATCTGTTCATCTGTTCTGTAAAAGAGATGCCAGAAGCTGGGGTCCCCTGGCAACTCCCTCCCTTGGGGTCCCCTTGGCCAGGCGAGGCCACAATAAAGTGCCCCCGCCTCCCCTCTACACTGGTGTCTGGTGCTCGCTGAGAGGGAGGGGAGCAGTACCCAAGGGGCCCTGGACACACCCCTACATCCAGACCGCCCCCACAGAACCCACCACACCAGGTGGGGTCCCCTCATCATTCCTTGTCTATCCTGTCCCTGTGGGCCACACCCCACACACAAAGTGGGTGGGGGCCTGGGGTGGAGCAGTCCCCACTCTCCTATCCTGCCCCACCACCTACATAACTCAAGTCTAATGGAGGTCAGACCCCCACAGTGATCACCCCACCTCCTCCTTCAAACCTAAGCTCAGGGGACTGCCCAACACAGCACCCACACCGAGTGGCTGACAGGTTGACACCAGCCCTGTGTCCTCTCCCCCAGGGTCCCCAGAACTGGACACCCTCTTCCAGGCCTACCTCCTTGGTCACCCCACTCATTAGCCCAGCTCCCAGTTCCTTTCTTGCTGCCCCTCAGTGGAGGGGGCACATGCTGGGGATAGGGCCTGGAGCACCCCCAGAAGTAAACCCCCTGTGTGCTCCCACACTCTGCAACGCCCTAGCAAATATTCTAAGGGAAGAAAAGGTCACATGTCCTCAGGGCCCACCTTGCCCCAGCCCCTCACCATACCTGGGGTGGCATGTTCAGCTGCTTCTTGCTAAGCCCAGTGCCAGGGAGCATTCCCAGTTCGTCCAACATGTGAGAGAGCATGTCTGTGCATTGAGTATAAGGACAAGTGTCACAAAGGCTCTGTATACGACTGTACGACTGTGTGAGGTAGGTCCTGCGTGATTGTATGTGTGTGACTCTGGCTGAGAGTGAGTGTGCCCGCAATGTGCATGCACGTGTGTATGTGTGCATGTGAGCATGTGTGGTGCATGCATGGAGCTAGGTCCTGCGTGACTGTGTGTGTGTGACTCTGGCTGAGAGTGAGTGTGCCTGCAATGTGCGTGTGTGTGTGTGTGTGTGCATGCATGTGAGCACATGTGGTGCAGGCATGCATCACAAGACCCTTGGCCCAGTGCCTTCCCGAGGAGCATCCCATGGAGACACTGGTATCTATGCTCCAAATGGACTGAGCAGCAACCATAGGCAAGACCAACATCCCAGCTCTCTTCACCCCACTCACCTACCAGAGGGTCTGAGAAGGGAAGTTCCTTCCTCCAGCTGCTGCTGAGTCAGCCCAGGAAGAGACCCAGGCAGCCCAGGTCTTGGTGGGAAGCTCTAGGGTCCGCCTGCTGATCCTGAGCCCCTGAGGTCCTTGCACAACTGCCTCCCACCAAGGCACTGAGCCCTGCCAGCCCCACCCAGTGGAGGAGTCAGGGAATTGGGGGCTGGGAGTAGACACAGGCAGCCCCATCCAGTGGCAACATGGTCATCCCCTAGGCCACCCTCGAGGACACCAATGACAGACATACAAAGAGACACAAGAAGACCAACATCCCCCTCACCTACCTGACCCCAGCAAAGCCATGCAAGAGGGGGAAAGAGGAGTGTGCGAGGGTCGGAGTCGCCGACAGAAGGATGGGCTTCCTGTCCCTCCAGTTCTCTCCAGCAACTCAATGAGGCAAAATGCCAGAAAATGCAGCAGCAGCTGCTATGCACAAAGCCTGCATAGGGCCGAGTGTCCAACAGGAGTCTGTAGTGTGTTCACAGCTGTGTGATAACCACCATCTAATTGTCGGTCTTTGTCGTTTGCCCATTAGCTTTCACCCCCCCACACACACCCCCTCCAGCCCCTGGCATCACTAATCTGTTTTCTGTATCCCTGGCCTGGATTCTTTTGGACATTTCACATACATGATCTCATACGTGGCCTTCTGTGACGGACTTTTCTCACTGTGCACCTGTGCGCTGGTCTCATGTAGTGATATGTGGCAGGGCTTCATTGTTGTGGCTGATACCATATTGTGCGGATGGACCACACTGTCATCAGCGATGGATGCTGGGCTGTGTCCACCTTCTGGCTCTTGGGAGGGGTGCAGTGTGAACAGTGCACAAGGCCTTCTGTGGGCGCTTTCATGAAAAGCTACAGAAAACTGCATCTCTAACAATGAAGTCTGAACAAGTCAGTGTTCACCTTGAACCCACAAGCTTGCACATTCCCCCAAAGGAGAAGCACAGAGCAGCAGACCTCCGACCCCAAAAAGGTCCCCAAAGACCAGACATCTGCAGGGGCTGACTCAACCCAGGCCACCCCATGCCCTTGCCCTCAGTCCAGAAACGAAGGGGCCTGGCCAAGTGGGGGCAGGGGGTAGTTCTGGGGGGGCGTCAGCTGGGGCAGAGCGGGGGATGGAGCAGCACGTTTCCCCCTCATCGTATTTCAGCACCTCCAGTTTTCCCCCACACCGAGGACCCGGGCTCAAGCCCTGGGATCCCAAGGAAGGAGGGAGGGGGATGGACGGAAACCCCGAGGGGCATGGGCGGAGCAAAGACAGCACCCCCTTGGATCATCGACCCGGTCTCCCGGCATCGCCCTCCCCTCCCTCCGTCCTGCTCCCTCTATCTCCCTGTGCCCCCGTCCCCGCCCTGCCCCCCTTCTCCACGGCGCCCCCCACTTGTCCCCCTCTCCCCGCCCCCGTCTCCCACGTCCCTCCCGCCCTGCGCGAGAAAACAGGAAGGGGCGCAGCGCAGCGGCGGCGGCACAGGAAACGCAGGAAGCGACCGGCGGGCGCGGCGCTTATCTCGGCGCGCAGCCCCGAGCCCTGGCCCAACGCCGCGCACCGCTGGCAGGCAGGGGCGCCTGGGATGCCTGGGTACCTCTCACCTGGCCAGGAGCCCCGACCTAGCCAAGGCCCCAAGGCTCACCCTGGACAATAGCCCCTTAACTACACATGTCGTAAGTGGACTATGCGGGGGCCGGAACAGGACTTCACCCGCTGCAGAGCTTCTGGAGCCTGGAGCCCAGGTCCTCTCCAGATCAGCTGAGGGCTGATAGGCCTGCCCTATCCCAGACTCCCAGACAGACAGACAGACACACACACACACAAAGCCCGGCCGGCCCACCTCACCAAGGTCCTGACCTCCCCATTTCCCCCTAAACAGGAACTCACTTCCCCACAGGTGCGACATCCCCCATGGCTCCTCCCGGTTTCAGTGGGGAGAGGGCTGGGGGCTGTTCCTTATTTACAAAGTTTGGTCTTTTCCTGGGGAGTGGGCAGGATGGGACTGTCCCTGCACCTCCCCCAGGATCCCTAAGGCTACCACAGGGACAATGGGCCCCAACACCTGGCACTCGCTGCCCTCCCCCCATCCCAGAGTGAATATTTGCTTCCTGGACTGGAGAGGGCTTGTTTGTTTCCGAGTCTGCCACAGCTGCTGGAAGCTCAGGCCCACAGCACACCCGGTGTGCCTGGGAGGCTGACGCAGCCTCCAGGACTTGACCCAGGTGTTTCCTCCTTGCTGCCTGTACCCACACCGTGTGCCGCTTCACTCCGTGTTTCCCTAGGCCATTCCTGACCAGCTCAGCAAGGACCAGGGTTAGGAAGGCAGAGGAGCTGCTGGGGCCTGGAAGGGACTCCAGGGCAGAGCAGAGCAGAAGCTATAGCTGGGCGGGGGCAGTGCCCAGGGGTGGCTGGGAACCACCGAGGTGGGAGGCAGGATGGGGAACACACAAGTGGCAAAATCAGGACTAACTTTTTGGTTTGGTTTTGCGTATCCAGAAAACAGCTTGCCAGGCACCCCAGTTCCAGATGTTCTTTCAAAGACGCCTCATGTGGAGAAGCCAGGAGCCCCATTCACCCTTCAAAGCCTGCCAGCCCCTCCTCCTTGTGCTCGTGTGGGGGCCCCCTACTCCGTCTCCCCCTCTCCGTGCTGAAGCCTCCCATGTGTTTGTCTGTGTCTCTGGATGTGCACCCCACCCCCATGGAGACAAAGTATCACAGAGGAAGAACCAAAGGGTAGGTCAGGGCTCTGGGCCCACCACAGGGTCCACACTATTTGCCAGTGCCAGTTGGAGCCTCAAACGTTTGTCCTTGTCCTTGTGGAGCTCCCAAGGGGAGGGTGGCTGGGGAAGGGGGAATAGAGAATGAAGTTGATGCTCTGCACCCAACTGAGGCCAAGAGCAGTTCATTAGGGGACAGAGAGGAGCCACAGAACAAGCAGGACACAATGCCCCATGGAGGGTGGGGCTTGAGGCTGGGCCAGATAGGTGCCTGAGTGGTGCTGACCACACACATGCACTCACATGTACACACAGACCCTCCTGCACAGAGACTTCTGAACGTGCACGCAGACTGTCACCCGCAGAGACCCTCACATACAGACTCCTGCACATGCACGCACAGACCGTCACACACACAGACCCTCACATACACATGCAGACACGGATCCCTGCATGCACACTAAGGGAAAACACTGCTGCCTGGACACACCTCTGTATGCATACAGATGGACACACACAGCTGTGTGCACACACTCACGCAGGTATCAGACAACTCACTAGTACACACTTGCAC